GGCTCTGGATAATTCCTAAATTTTAGCAGTGTGCTATTCTCGTTGGATCACTTCTCACATTCTCTTTTCAATCACACTTTATGTTGTGAAGAACAGGCTGCTGAGTTCGATTTGCACTTTGAATTATTTGCCAGTTGTTCTTGCATGTAACACCAGGAACAGCTGTTGGGGTTGGTTGGTTTTTGTTTGGTTTTTTTTTTTTAAAGGCTTTCTCACTTCTTATTTTCCAGTTGGTTTGGTGATCTCTTGTAGGAATGTTTTGCTTCTTCTGACAGTTTAAATTAAAACCTTCTAGAAGGCTGTGAGTTAAAAACACGATACAGGGCAACTAACAAGAACTGACTGCATTTCAGATCAATATTTCTGGGAAATAACAAATCGGTGCGTTTTTGTTCCCCTGTGACTTACACAAAGGAATTAAAGATTTGGGGCTTTTCTAACTGTTTTAGACATGGGGTTAATGCTTAGCCCAATGTCAAGTAGATTTTCCTTTAAATTGAGATGCATTTTGGCAGTAAATCCCTTGTCTTCATAAACACACCAGTTTTTCTTGCCGGAGGTGCCCAGGCAGATAGGATAAGGTGCAGAAAGCTATTGGGAAACAACTTTTTGGTCAACCTGCAGCTGTTGGGGGAGGTTTAGCTCGTGCTTTAATATTTTGTCTGATTCAAACTGCGTGGCCCCGCGTGGCACCGTGTTTCTCTCTCCTTGAAATGGGCATTTCAAACATGATAGGAAGGTCCCAGGGAGTCAGAACTAAACCCCAATGAAATCGTGGCATTTACCACCACTCCTGCCTCGAGGAAGTTGAAGCTGTCCGTGAAAAGCACCTCTCCAGAGGTGTAAAATGAAGGTTTTGTGGCAGTTTCAAGGTGTGTCCAACTCTCTTTGATGACCTTCCTAACCCTTCTGGTCGCACTCCCCTGGGCTCACCCAAAACCTTTGGAGGTCAAGCAGCAAGATTTGACCCCTCACCATAAGCAGCCTGAACGAGGTGACTTTAAAATGCATTAACAGACGTTTAACTACAAAATGCTGCGGATGATTAAGTGTTTAATGCTCTTTGGCCCTGAGTTATTCCTCAGAGCTCTTGTTCTAACCGCTTGCAATTAATAAAAGCAAATTCTGCTTCTCCTCCTGGGCCGTATCAGTTTAACAACCACCAGGCCTCTGCTGGTTGCAGACGCTCATTCATTTTTAACTCATTACACCGAGCCTCTCTGCAAAGGGCTGCCTGTTCTCCTAATTGCTTATCTAAATGTATCACTTACTAGAAAACAGGCTGAAAATACTTTGTTTCCTGAAGTGAAACTGTAACTTATCCACTGGCCGCCTGGCCTGCCCTTTCCCGATGGTGGATTGTATCTGAGCCCAACCTGCCCGACAGGTTTTCGCTGCTGCTGGGCCGGAGTGCAGCGTGTTCCAGCGCTTCAGGGAGGAACAGATCACCCGGGCAGCTCCGATTTGGGGGGATCTGCCTTTGGTGAGGGGCGCTGAGCCGCCGTTTCCCAGGAGATGAAGTCGTGCCGAGGGAAAACACTCTTGTGTTGTTTATTTAAATGTTCCCTTTCATACTCAAATCTCCCCGCTTAGCCTGATGGATCCCTCTTTTGAGGATGTGCTCAAGGACTACGAGCAGCTCACGAGCCGTAGTCTTTTATGTTTTCAGGAATTTTACTCCAAAAACGATCAGGGTAGCAACTACAGACAACATTTGGGTGGAGGGAAAGAGGAAGTTCAGCTTCAGTTTGGGATATTGGTGAGTTGTGATGTAGGCTGCAAAGGTTGGAGATGCCTGGAAAATGACTGGATTTTTTTCTTGTTGTTGTTAATTTAAGAGAGTCTTAAATTTCCTGGTATTTTGAGACTGTCCAAGCAGTGGGGTGAAATGAGAATTAAAGTTTAACCCTGGAGTGCAGTGGGATCCCGTGATCCCTCAGCTGAGCTGCATTAACAGGCAGTGAAGTCCTGGGAAGCAGCTCTGGGCTGTCGGTGCAGTTTCTGCTGTGGCAGCGTCTGTGTGTGACACTGCAGGGACAGGAGTGTGCAGCACAAACCCTGGGAATGATTCCCTTTCTGTGGGAATGGATGACTGGGACCAACTGCTGTCCTTTGTCCCAACCACATCCAACAAGTCACCAGTGGGAACCACAACACTTTGTGGGAGTTCTGCGGGTGGATTCCTCCTGGTATTTTTCTTTTAGCAGTGATTCAATCACTTTTTTAGTCAACATCTAAACACGCTCGTGTTGCCAGGGGTGGGTGGGCTGTAAACTGCACTGTGCTGCCTATAAAAATAAATGGGACTTTCTGTAATGCCACCTACCCTGAAGTACCAAATAAGTTACAAAAGTGGTTTGGATAGCAGGAATGTGGAAGAGAACAAGAGGGAAATGGAGCCCCACTGCTTAACTGTGTCTTAGCTTCTTATTCTTCACAGAAAGTAAAAATAGGAGGGAGGATGGGTGGTATAAAAGCAGCTTCAGTGGCAAAGGGCAGACTTGACCTGGAAATAGCTGCCAGGAAAACAAGGATCTAACGGGATTCACTGCTGTTGGTGCCAAGTATAAGCAACTTATCCAGGAGCCTTGGACATCTTCAGGGTGTGGAAAGATGTCGTGGATGTAAATGGCAAGATTTTGCTCAGTTACCCCATTGCTGTGATCAGTCCAAGCATTTGATAACCTGTTGTGCTTTTAAACACACAGAAGCAGAAGGAAGGCCTTCTTTGTAAGGTTGTCTGGCCACAAAAGCTTACACACTCGTTCTGAAGAGTTACCAGAGCTCTGGTAAAAGGTCACAGTTCAGCCCTGGCTGTTGCTTTGCAGATGAAGCAGAAGATAGAGGTGGCATGAGCAGCCAGACAAAGGAAGGCTTTAGAGCTCCCTCCCCTCCAGCCCGGGCAGAGCTGCTCGCTGGGCTGGGCTGGGCCGGGCCATTCCCTGCTGGCTGAGTGAGCTGGAGAAAGGAGGACTCCAGCAAAACTGTTTTCTCTGCTTCCTCATTCACTTTCCTGTTTATACAGCCTCCACATATTCAAGGGGGAGTGGAACACCCACGGTCGTGCTGCAGGAATGTGAAGGAAATGGTGGAATCATAGAACTTCTAAACCTCCTGTTTGGTTTTAATCCACAGGCTGCCCTGTCTGGTTTGGGCAGGAGTTTAATTTTAAAGTTTTGGTCACGTTGAACTTCAGTCCTATAAAAGAAATGACTCTTTGACTCGAGTTGCTTCAACAGGTTGACGTGGGGGTTGATGTCATTCAGGAGCTCTGGAGTGGACTCTGAACTTCCCCGTGGAGCTGCCCGTGCTTGGACATGTGACTGGGTTAATGTTACAACATTTAACCCAAAAGTTGTGTCCAGCAAAGCTTCCTGAGGAGGACAGAGCTGCTTAAACCTTTCCCAGCGTGGAGTGAGGAAGCTTCAGGCGTGCCTAGGACAGAGCTAAACAGAGCAGGAGGAGGGTTTTGTTGTGTGCTTTTCAACCCAGAGCTCCCTTGAACGGTCTTTAACAGATACTCTGCAAAGTGTTATTTCTAGTGAGAGTTTTGCTTCGAGCGTGGCTTCGTCATGAAACACAGAGAATGTTCCAGAGGTGGCTCAAACATCATACTCTGCTTTAAATTGCACGGTTGGGTGTGCAGGAAATTCACTCTTTGAATGTTACACATCTTGGCTGTGTGTGTGTCTTGTGTCTGAAACTTGAGTTTTCAGTTGGGCTCAGCCTCTTCTTTTTAAACTGACACCCAAGAGCAGCAGTGAAGGTGTGAACGGTCCCTATCACCCCGTAACGACTCAGTGAGAGCTTCTAGGCTGCTTTTTCCTGCCTTATATAAACAGAATATGAGTTCTCTTGGTGATTTCAAACCCTCTCTGAACTGTGCAGGAGTAAGTTTGGAAAGGGGGGGGGGAATTTGAGTGCAGTGAGTCCCATCCCAAGGGCACGGGGAGGTCTGAGGGCTGGAGCAGAGGCAGTTTCTGCTCTCCCCAAACAGGACGCTCCTGGTGACATTAATCACTGTAATCACCCCGAAGTGCCGGCTGGGAAGGAAGGCACGTTCGTTCCTCAACCTGCTCTTTTAATGCAGCTCTTAATTTTCGATAGTTAAGTTTGATTAATTAAGTTTGCTTCCTACAGGAGGTTTCCCCCTGATGCTGATGGAAGTAACGCTGCCCCGTGTTTGTGCTGCTCACAGACCATTTCCTCAGGGCTGGGGAGGAAGGAAACTGCTCTGAGCAGGAGAGAATCCAAGCTGTATTCCCAGTTTCCTTCACAAAAGGGGCACCAGCTATTGCTGTGCTAAGCAAAAGCTGGTTTTATCTGCAGATCAGTTAGAAAAAGTTTAATAATGACACTTGGGCTGCAGATAAATTTTCCTGTAACAGTGGGGCAGAAAACACCTCAAGTGGTCGTCTGTGTGAATTTTGCAAGACAGAGTCTAAGAACAGCATTTAATGCTAAAACCTCTCAAAGAATATTTGAGGTATTTAAAGCACTCAAAGCCGAGGTCGTTTCATGAGCACTGAATTTTGGCATATCTTGATTTTTGTGTTGCATCATTATGGGAGAAAGTCATGCACAATTGTGTGTGGGGGGTGTCTGTAAATGATTCAGGTTATCTCTTGCGTGGGTTTTTGTGGGGTTTTAGGCCGTGGTCAGAGCACAGTTGTCGGTAACTCCTGAGTGATACTCTGATCTTTTCCCTCCAGACTTCACTGGCCAGTGAGAACATATCTCAACCATGGGCAATATTTTTGCAAACCTCTTCAAAGGCCTTTTTGGCAAAAAAGAAATGCGTATTCTAATGGTTGGCCTGGACGCCGCAGGAAAGACAACTATTTTGTACAAACTTAAACTCGGTGAAATAGTAACTACTATTCCTACTATAGGTAAGACTTTCACGTTTCTGTAACTGATTGCTTTGAGATTTGGGTCTTACTGTTTGTGGCAGTGCCTGATCTGAGCCGCCACTCTTGGTTTAAGTGGCTTGTCTGGCAGAACAAACCCCTGCTCTGCCTTTTGTAGCTGCTCAGGTAGCAATTAGAGCTGTTCATTGGTGTGATCCCAGTGTGGGGGTGATGGTGGGAGTCCCAGACAACCCACATTTTTCTGCTTTGGGAGCTTCACCGCAGAACTCTGCTTATTTAAATGAAGTTAAATTTCGAGATAACTTTTTAAAATGCTG